TACCGGGGATTGAACTCAGGTCCTTGCACTTGCGCAGCAGGTGGCAAAACCACTGAGCATCATCCCTGGCCTGTTCAGGCTGGTTTTGAACTCACTATGTAGCCCAGGTTGGATTCGAACTTACGATGATCCTCCTGCCTCAGCCTCCTAAGTGCTGAGATTACAGGCATACACCATGCCTGTCTCTTGCTCCTTTAGTCTCCTTGGACTCTGATCTCTTTCTCTTCATATCAGCAAGAACTTTGACATAGTCTGGAAAATGCCTCTGAGATTTTTTCATAGGGCTCACACTTCATTTATTTCTCAGTCTTGTGTGTGTGCGCTGATATTTTAATTTGTTTTCTTTCTATGTTTTATCCGATTTTGTAGTTGTCTTTGGCAGGAAAGCAGTTGCTGTCACTGTCAGAAATAGAATCCTTGGGCTGCTGCTGCTTGCCTCGAAAGCGCAAGGTCCGGAGTTCGATCCCCGGTACCACACACAAAAAAGAAGCAGAATCTTTGTTCACGATTTTTAAAAATTTACACTTTTTTGCCTGGTGTGGTGGTGTGTGCTTGTAATCCCAGGACTCTGGAAGGCTAAGGTAGAAGGACTGCATGTTCAAGCATAGTCCGGGCAATGTAGCAACTTAGTGAAGTCCCCCAACCCAAAGGTGGGGAGGTGTGAATGTAGCTCAGTGAAAGGCCCTGGGTTCAATTCCCAGTGTCATTCCCTGTCCAAAGTACTTACTTACTTACCCCTTTAAAACACTTTTTTATTTTGAGACAGGGTTTTACTAGGTGGCTAAATTGCCTAGGCTGGACTCAAACTTGTGATACTCTTGCCTCAGCCTCCCAGAATACTGCAATTTCAAGTGTGTGTCAGCAAGCCCAGCTTCTTTAATTTCGTTTATACTGTGAGTGGTACAGATAAAGCACATTTAGAGATTTTCATTAAATAACTGCTATTAGTACTGATGAACACAATCTGTTTAGTCTTGCTTAATTAGTACTTTAATCTTTTTATAGAATTTATCTATTTACTGTCACTTTTATTATCTCTACTGCAAATACACTGACTATGACTTTCTACTTCACTTTAAATAAAAGACAGGATTTCAAATTCTTATTCCATTTTTACTTTCATGTTGCTTTTTCCTTTTAGAATCTTTCCTCTGTAAAATCAAGATGAAAGCAGCTCAGTATGTTAATTAGCCTTGATCTAAAGCTTCTATAGGTCACACATACAGTCTATGACTTACCCTTCTAAAACATGCAGTACTTACGCATCTGTTGTCTTTGTACACCCATTTAGATTCAGTACTTCAATGTTCCTACAGTTTTGTGCAAAGGTCCTTTATGGGAAAGAACCAAAGTAAAAGGTTTAAATAAAATGGGAACATTCCAAGCCTAAAAAGTAATAAAATGATTTATTTTTCATAATACTGATTGTTGATACTTGGTATATTGTGATAGGAGAAATATGTATTTGTTTTCAATCTCCAGTTATTTGAATAGAGCTCTTAAGACGCCTGTAATTCCTAAGTGACAGGGGGAAAGGAGTGTCTTTTGTTATAATACTTGTTGTTCAACTATGCCTAGGTAACATGGCCATTGTAAAAAGCCCTAAAAGATGGGTACAGGGGAGCTTCTGGGTTGGTAAGCACAATCATCATGAGGTGGGAGGGTAGAATGCCTTAATTTCCCAGGGAAGGTCCTGTGCTTGGGATCCTTTGAATCTTAACCATGTACTTCATCTGCATCCTTCATGATAACTGGTAAAGTAACTAAAGCACCATGTAACAGATTTTCAAGCCCCAGGAAGGGATCAGGGGAACCCCCTGACTTCTATCCCATTCATCAGAAGTACACAGCAGCTGGGCATGGTACTGTACTATGGGAGGCTGAGGCAGGAGGATCACAAGTTCAAGCCCAGCCTAGGCAATTAGCAAGATCCTGTCTCAAAATAAAATAAAAAGGGCAGAGGATGTAGCTCAGTACAAAAAAGGCCCTGTTTTCAATTCTCAGTATCCAGCCCCCCCCAAAAAGTATACAGCAATGTGGGACGTGCAACTGTCATCTCAAGTATGGGCAGTCTTTTGGACTTATCCTATTGGTGCCTGAGGTTACTGTGTGCTTACTGTCAGTACTGAATTATAAGACATCAAAAAATTGGTCATTGGTGGAAAAAGACAAAAGTTCAAAGAACAAAAAATCTCAGGTTCCAAAAGAACCATTTATAGTGGGGAATCTGGCCTTTCTGGGGGAACTATCTGCTCTTCTTCTTTTTTTTTTTTCTGGTACTGGGGATTGAATCCAGGACCTTGCGCTTGCTAGGCAGTTATGGTAACATGGAGCTACATTCTGGCCCCTATTCTTAAAACCAGTCTTTCTCTTACCAGCTATTTTTGTTATAAACAATGTATGCACATTTGAATTTTTAAAAAATGTATTTGAATTTATAACCACTTAGAAATTTTAAAAACTACTTAGGTATTTTCTGGTGAGGCGATGCTGTTCTTTATTTCAATCAAAGTGATTAATCAAGCCAGGGGTGGTGGCCCATGCCTGTAATTCCAGCAGTATGGGAAGCTGCAGTTGAGGCATGGTCAATTCCAGCCTTAGTGATTTAGCAAGACCCTGTCTCAAAATAAAAAATTTAAAAAGGGCTGGGAAGCCAGGCATGGGTCTGTACCCTCAGCCCTCACGAGGCTGAGGTCAGTGGATCACTCTGAGTTTCAGGCCAGCCTGCACTAAACAAAAGAGCTTAGGATGCAGCACCACATGAATGTCCTGGGTTTAATTTTCAGTTAAAAAACAAATCAAAACAGATTAATCAGTAATTACCATTATTTTTTTTACCTTAATGCATTGTCTCCTACTCCAAGACACCCACGAAGACTTAACTTTCGTAAAAACCCTCCACATCGCTTTGAAATATTCTCCACTACCCGGCCCTGTAACAAGGAATAGGTAAATAGACAACCTGCCTCACTGATTCTGAGAAAAATACATATTATTTTTTTAACAATTTATAAACAGAAAGAAATGGCTTCTATTTGTTTCAAAAAACTAAATAGGAAAATACTGTGTTCAATTTGTAAGATGTTCTGTATTTGAGGAATGGTGTTTCCTAGGTCTCTTATGGCACCATATGAATGTATACTGTCCATACCTGGTTTAAAATCACAGCTACTGAACCGGGCACAGGGGCTCATGCCTGTAATCCCAGCACTTGGGAAGCTAAGGCAGGAGGACTGCTGTGAGTCTGAGGCCAGCTTAAACTACACAGCGAGACCCTGTCTCAAAAAAACAAAACAGATGCCCAGATGCCCATCAACAGATGAATAGATAAAATGTGGTTTTTATATACAATACAATGGAGTACTACTATGCATAAAGAAGAGTAAACTTGAGACATTTTTAGGTAAATGGATGCACCTTGAGACCATACTTTTAAGTGAAATAAATTGGACATACATGTTTAAATATCGCATTGTTTCTCTTGTGTGAGAAACCAAACGTGTGAATGGATGACAGATATTGGGAAGCAGGAAGAAAATGTTTAAATGGGAAAGAGAACAAGGGAGAGGGCAAGGGGAAGCTAAAGAAAGGAAAAGGGAAAAATGAGAATAGAAGGAAAAAATGAAAACAAAATTTTTGTAAATAAGGAGTGGAAGAAAGGTTGAAGGGAGGGGAGGGGAATGGAAAAAAAAAAAAAAGAAGCGAGATATTTTATGTACTGGTAGAAATTCCCTATGATGAATGTGATCACTATGCTTACCAAAAGGGTACCAATAAAATTCATTTAAAACCAAACCAAACAAAAAAACAGCAACTGAAGGACAATATACATATCCATCTTCATATCCTTTCCAAAGAGGCAACATGCAAATACCATCCCAATGGCTCTACTGTTCTTCAATAAACAAATACAAAACGAACAAACACCAAACACATGTTCATAATTTGGCAAAAACAAAACACCTGGGGTCCTATTCGGGCCTGAAATTATTCTAAATAATTTAGTATTATTTCAATGAAATAATTTCGCTTATTCTCAAAAACTAAAGAAACTCTTGGGAACTTCTGGCAACTCCAATGAATTTCAGATACATTGAAAATAGTAGTTTCTCTTTTTGGGGAAAATAAGATTTATATGGCTGGTGCTAATCTGTTCGACACTGTAATTACAAGAGAAATGGTGCCACACACCACATAATTATACCTCAATATCCCTCTGGAAATCAAATAGATCAATTCGCTGCCAGTTGCTGCCATCCAGAGCAAGAACATTCCAGGCCTATTTTGAAGAAAAAGAGACAGACGGAGCAAAGTTGAAAGGAAAACAGTGACATTCACATTTACCAGTCAACCAATGACTGAAGCACACTGAAAAATCCCCCAGTGCCTACCGGTAACTAATCCCAGCCTGTCTGCCTTAATCTGACATATACTTTACTCTCCATCAATGAGTGGGCAGAGACTTATAGCTACAGAAGATCTTGAACTAGGGAAGGGCAGGTTGTGGTGTTACAGCCAGGACCAGATTGGAACAGACTAGACTCTCTCAACTCCCCTGTTTAACAGTTCTGGGGATTGAACTTAGGACCTCTACTCTAAACTTCATCCCCAGTCCTTTTTATTGTTTGTTTTGAGACAGGGACTTGTTGTAGTACAGGTCTGTAATCCCAACTACTTAGGAGGCTGAGGCAGGAAGACTGAAGAATCCAGCCTGGGCAACTTAGCAAGACCCTGTCTTAGAAATAAGGGTTTGGGATGTAGCTCAGTGGTACAGTGTTGCCTAGCATGTGTGATGCTCTGGGTTCAAACTCCAGTTCTGGTGGAAAAAAATCATCCTAACACCATTGGTTGTTTTTAAAATAGCTGATACATGCATATTGATATGGTATGTAAGACAATTGTTCTTACTGTGTTTCTTTGAAGGTGGTCCTAAGTGTCCCTTCAAAATCCTTACCATAACTACCACCAAACAAACCAAAACAACCTTAATGCAGAAAATTCCTGTCATATTAATTTTAATTTCTGAGTTGGCATGGTGAGGTACTCCTATATGCCCAGCACTCTGGCAGACTGAGACAGGAAGAGCGTGAGTTCCAGCCTAGCCTAGGCAACTTAACAAGACCCGGTCTTGAAATAAAAATTTAGAAAAAGGGTTGGAACTGCAGCTCAGTGCAAAGGCCCTGGATTCAATCCCTAGTATCATGAGGGGGGAAAAAAAAAGGAATTCTTGCATCCCAGAAGTGAATTTTTGTTAGCTATTTGGTAGTATCTGTTGAATGAATTAAAAGCTGGCATCTGATTTATAAAAAAGATAACTGGAGGGCCAAGGATTTAGCTCAGTGGTGCAGTGCCTGCCCGGCAAGTGCAAGGCCCTGGGTTCGATTCCCGGTACCAAAAGAGAAAAGTGAAAAAAGAAAGAAAAAAAAAAAAGATAACTGGGGGCCGGGTTTTAGCTCAGTGACACCACACCTGCCTCGAAAGCACAAGGTTCTGAGTTCGATCGCCCGTACCAAAAAAAAAAAAAAGATTCATAAGGTAATTTTCCCATAATGAAGATTCTACCCTATATTTTAGTGGCAGCCTAGGAAATTACGGCATTTGGCCATTTTGTCACAGCAAGGCCACAGCAATTTGTCTGTTGAGACAAACTGGATAGCTAAGCACAATTTAGAAGTTGAGGGCCAGGATTTAGCTCAGTGGCACCACTCCTGCCTTGCACGCACAAGGTCCTGAGTTCGATCCCTGGTACCGCAAAAAAAAATTTAGAAGCTGATCTAGGAATGTGTTATGGCTTTTATCTAGATGTCCCCCAAAGCCTCAGGCGCTCACAGGTGGAGCTTTTCCAGGTGGGGCTTTTCAGATCTGGCCATATCTAGGGGATGTCATACTGGGATTAAGGGTGTGTGGCATTAAATTAGTTCAGATTGGAATTAGCATAGCTCTGGGTGTGGCTGAATGGATTTACTGAAGACAGAGGGCCCAGCCCAGGTGTGGGTGGCACCACCCAAAAGGCTTGCACCCTAGAGGGAATAAAGGGAAAGGCAGGCTTGGGACTATTTCCTGCCTGCCGGGCCATGCACTGTTTCTCTTCTGCCATATCCCTATGCCAAGCTGCCTGGCCATGGAAGCTTATAAACTGAGACAAAATAAACCTTTCCTCCTCTAACTTCAGATGTCAGGTATTTTGTCCAAACAATGAGAAAAGTAACTAAGACACACTGAAATCCGGTTTGCTCTGCAACTTCTTCCTGTCCTAAGGATTGAACCTAGGACCTATGGATGCAAGGCAAGCACTTTGCCACTGACTCACATTCCCATTCCTACCTTTAAAAGCAATTCTAGCTAGGGCTGGGGATTTAGCTCAGTGGTTCCACTGCCTTGGTTTACAAGGTCCCGAGTTCAATTAACAGTACCAAAAAACCCCCACCAAACAACAAAAAAACAATTCTACCCAACCTCTTTTAGGAATATGGAGAAATAATGCAAGAATTAGATGCCTAAGACTCATGTATAAATACATATATATTTGTGTGTGCTTATATAAATTGAATTAGGAAAATAATATAGCATGATTTTATTATGACTGAATTACGCCTAACCTTTTCAAAAATTAATTTCTTTTCTTTTTTTTTTTTTTTGGTACCGGGGATCGAACTTGGGTCCTTGCGCTTGTGGAGCAGGCAGCGAAAGCTCTGAGCTAAATCCCAGGCCCAAAAATTAATTTCTTAAGATTAACTTTTTAAATGTGATAATAGGAAATGAAGCCAGGGCCTCATGTGTGCTAGGCAAGCACTATACTACTGAGCTATCTTCCCAAACGACCCTCCCCCTTCTTTGTTTTTTGAGACAAGGTCGTGCCTCGTAGTTCAGGCTGGCCTGGAACTCTCTACGTAGTCCAGGCTGGCCTCCAGCTTGCAGCAATCCTACCTCAACTTCCCAAGTGCTGGGATTACAGGCATGCGCCACCATGCCTGGCTTCCCAGACCTTTTATTATATTTCTCTTAAATTTTGAGACACGGACTACTCCCTAAGTTGTCCAAGTTGCCTCAAACTTGTAATCCTCCTGCTTCAGACTTCTGAAGCTGTATGCCATGGCGAAATAACATAACAATGTACATGAAATACCTAAAACATGGTTAATTTACTGCAAAGAGCGTCATCCTCAGTGTCAGGAAGGGGTCCCCTATAACCTTTGGCACACATGCCACAAGTGGGCTGTTTATATCACTGAAAGCTCTAAAAGGTTTCCCATCACTGCCCTATAATCATGTCAACCTTTCTTACCCTGGAAACCTGTGCACAGCGACACAAGGTAACGACATCGAGGAAAGAAAATATCCTAAAAAGAGAGAGAGACAAATTTTATTGTATGATAAAATACTTTGTTGATTTTTAAAAAATTTAAAAAATTTTACTAACACGTTTGCAGTACACATCTTAATTCTTTTTATGTCCCCCTTGCCCTCCCTCCCTGCTCATCCTCCCATCTCTTGATCTTCTTCCTGAGAAAGATCTATTTTTCTACTTCCTATTATCTAACTTTTATTTGGTTTTTAATTGGTACTTTGGGTTTCCCATGTACACACACATGTGCCTACCATTAATGCACATAGACAGGCATAAGTTTTTTCAAACAAATACATAAAAACTTGAATAATTTACAAAGATAAGTGCCTATATAAAACATAAAGGGAGAAGGTAGTCATTTACTTCATAATGTACATGTAAGTGCTGTACAAGTTATAGATACTTGCGGTATTACCAGATGGAGACCAGGGAGCACTAGTTAGAAGAAGGGAGGCTGGAATTTCTATTCCAGTTACCTGAAGTGTAAAAAGCTTCCTGGGCCTGGGATTTAGCTCAGTGGTTCCAAGCGCCTGCCCTGTAGGTGCAAGGTCCCAAGTTTGATGCCCGGTACCAAAAAAACCCAAAAAACAAACAAACAAAAAAGCTTCCTAGTTAGCTTAATAGAATGAAATTTTGTTGTTTAATGATCAGAGGCCATCAATCTTATTCAGGCACTTGTCATAAGCTGAGTTAATAATTACATCACATAGAAAGTCATGTGCATTTTATAATTATTTCTGGTCTTTAAAATAGTAAATTATACTTTTTAAAAAATGGTGACAAAATTTAAAAAAATAAAAACAGTGACAAAGTTTCACATTAAAGGTAGGATGAAATAGGTTCTGCAGAGTAAGCTTGGGCCAAGTAAATTAGGAAAAAGGGAGGAAAAAAATACACTTTACACTACAAGGTAGGGTACTGTGAAGAGAGACACAATAGCCTCCTTTTAACCGTTTCTAATATATAGTTCAGCAGCATTAAATTCACACTGCTATACGATAGCCACCATCCATCTCCAAAACTTTTTCATCTTCCGAAGCCAAAATTCTGCACTCATTAAACAATAACGACCCCTCATGTTCATGTCCCAGGCCCTGGCAGCCATCACCCCACGCTATGTCTCTGTAGGACTGACTACTCTAGGAACTGAAACTTTGTCATCTGTGTCTTACAATTTCACCTAGCAAAATGTCTCAAAGTTCTCCAAGGTTGTCAGCACATACAGAATTCCTTTTTCCCTGCATGTATACGACACAATTACACATCCATTGAGGGACGCTGGCTTTCTTTCATCTTTTAGCTACTGTGGATTCTGCTCCTATAAACATGAGAATACAAATTCCTGTTAGGGTCATTGCTTTTAGTGTTTCTGGTACATATGCAGAAGCAGAACTGCTGAATCACCTAATGTTTTAATTTTTTGAGGTATTATCAGTGTACAAATGTTCTAACTTCTCCACATCTTTGTCACCACCACTCTATTTTGCTTATTTTTATTTTTAAAAGAGTCTTTACTAATGGATGTGAAATGGGAGCTGGTACCTCAGTTGTGTTTTGTTTCATGAGACAGGGTCTCACTACGTAGTTCAACCTGGCCTTGAACTCACTATTCAGCCCAGGCTGGCCTCCAACTCACAGTGACCCTCCTGCCTCAGCTGCCCAGTGCTGTGTTTTGACTAGCATTTCCCTAATGATTAGTCCTTGAGAATCCTTTCATGTGCTTCTTGGCCATTTACATATCTTCTTGGGGAACCAATTGTTTAAGTCATTTAACCATTTTAAAATTAAGTTGTTCTTTATGTAGTCTAGACAATATTTATTTATTTATTTATTTTTGGTACCAGGGATCGAACTTGGGACCCTGCACTTGTGAGGCAGGCGACGGCACCACTGAGCTAAATCCCCGGCCCAATAATTCTTTATCATATATATGATTTGCAAGTATTTTTTGCTATCCTGACAGTTGCCTTTTTACTGCTGGGTGTCCTTTTTTTTATTATTTTTTGAGACAGGGTCTTGCTATGTAGTTCAGGCTGGCCTTGAACTCAAATACCTGGTGATCCACCTCACCCTGGCTCCCTGGGTGTCCTTTAATGTGCAAAAACTTTTAATTATGCCACACTTAATCTTAGCAAAAAGGCCGAGAAGTGATAAAAAACTTTTAATTATGAAGTAGTCAAATTTACTTATTTTTCTTTTGCTTTCTGAGGTTTTGGTGTCATAACTAAGAATTCAATGACAAGACCAATACCATGAAGCTTTGTCTGTTTTTTTTCAAGAATTTTTATAATTTTAGCTCCTTCATTTAAGTCTTTTGATTCCTTTTCAATTGATTTTTGTAAATGGTGTAAGGTAAGGGTCTAATTTCCTTTTTTTGTTGTTTTCTTTTTGGTGGTGCTTGAGATAAAGTCCAGGGCCTTGAGTCTGCTGAGCATGCTACCAGTGTGCTACATCCCCAGCCCAACTTCATTCTTTTGCACATGGATATTTGGTTTTCTCAACACCATTTGTGTCTTCTCTTCAAAAACCAGTGAGTTGGACATGGTGGTGCAAGCTTGTAATATCAGCACATGGGAGGCTGAGAAAGGACTGTCCCAAGTTCAAGGCCAGCCTCAACTATACCATGTCTCAAATCAACTAAACATATTATTATTATTATTATTATTTTCTTTTTGGTACAGGGATCAAACTCAGGACCTTGTGTTTGCAAGGCAGGCGCGGTGCCACTGAGCTAAATCCCCGGGCCTCAAACATATTATTTGATAATGGGCATAGTGGCATACACTTGTAATCCCAGCACTCTTTAAGACCTCAGCAGGAGGATGGCAAGTTTGAGTGCAGCCTGGGTGACTTAGGAACTTATGGAGACTCTGTCTCAAAATTTAAAAAAATTAAAAAGGGGGGCAACCCACTTTCTGGTCCCCCCCCTTCCTAGATAGAAGCTGTCTTTCTCTCAATAAATTTTTCCTACTCTTAACTTCCATTGTTCCTAGAATTCATTCTTTCAATTTAGAAAACACGAACTCGTGTTTCTGATACCTAGTAGGTTTGGGAGTTGCATCTCTTCCCCTTATATCATTTTGGAGGTCTTCTACCAAGATTACTGGTTGGAGAGGCTGTCAAACTCCAAGTAGTCATACAAATGGAACCAATGACAAATGTGCTAGACTTCTTTTACTGGGATTCACCAGACTGACCTTGTAAACAGCTCATAACTGCCAAATTACACAATATGACCTCTATGTTGGATTCTGAAATCCTGGGCCTTTTCCTAATCCTCTTTGTGGGAGGCTATTCCTAGTTCTTCCTGGTGCAAACACTTGTTGGTATATTCATTGAAATCCTGCTGACCTTGTAATTTGGCCCATGTATTCTTAACTGTTTCTTTGGCTTTGTCTTCTCCGGACTCCAAGGTACAAGCCTACCCAAGATGACAATGCCTGGAGGATTCTGAGGGCCTTTAGATAGACCCTCTGTAGAGTAACTCTTTTTTTTTGGTACCGGGGATCGAACTTGGGACCTTGCGCTTGCGAGGCAGGCGCCGGAACCACTGAGCTAAATCCCCGGCCCATGTAGAGTAACTCTTGAATGCTGATCACAACTATGACCCTCTTCAGCTGGAAGTAGTCAGAAAGGTCTTCACCCTTTGTCCCCTTCACAGCACTTCTAGGGATACTTCTTTAGAGGGGGGAATATGGCAGATAGCTAAATTAATTAAGATATCTTGTAGGAAGTCAGCCAAGGCCAGCCCATGAGGAGCCAACATGGAGGACAATGAAGACACATTCACTGAAGGTCAGCATTGTAAAAGAGAAACTACCACACACCCAAGTAGGATAAATAGCAGTGACTGGTATTCTAAATAGGTATCGGTCACCTGGGTGGGGAACCAAGATCTTCCAGGAAAGAACACTGACCCACTCCTTACCACTGAAAATCCTTGCTCATTCCTTGCACCTTGCTACGTGTATTATTTCCCCATTGGATCCCCATTGAATCAATGTTTCTTTTTCTTTTCTTTTTTTTTGTATGGGGGATTGAACTCGGGTCCTTCTGCTTGCAAGGCAGGTGGCAGAACCACTGAGCTAAATCCTCGGCCCTTAATCAATGTTTCTTAAGTGACTGTACTTGTAATCTTACTAGTTGACTACAGTTTTGTCCCACCTTGTACCCACCTCACCTCATGGCTTTGTCCCATAAAACACCTTTGAGAAGTTTTGTGAGCAGGCAACCCACTTTCTGGTCCCCTTTCTGCCTCTCTTAGCAGCTCTCTTTCTCTCAGAAAACTTTTCCTACTCTTAAAAAGGGATGGGCTGTAGCTCAGTGTGAAGGTGCTGGGTTCAATTCTCAGTACTGAAAATAAAAAACTGACCATGTAAAGATTTCTTTCTAGGATCTCTGCTCTATTCCAATGGCCTATTTGTCTTATGCCAATACAACACTATTTTAAATATTTTTCAGGGTTTTTTTGGTACCAGGGATTGAACTCGGGACCTTGTGCTTGCGCGGCAGGCACCGCAACCACCGAGCTAAATCCCCGGCCCAAATATTTTCAGTTTTGAACCAGAAAGTGTTTTTGATTCAAACAGTTGCATGATGTCAAAAAATCTAGTACTAGAAACTGAGTTGTTCACAAGAAACTTCCTTTATACTTTCTTACACATTTACTTCTCAAATAAATTTCTGTGTGTTTTGTTTTCTTTTTGGCAGTACTAGGGATTGAACCCAAGGCCTTCAGCATGCTAGGCAAGCACTCTATCACTGACCTATATCCCCACGTCCTAATAGATTTCTGATACATTTTGAAGGGATACAATGGAAGGGATTAAACTTTGTTTTTGTTGGTTTGCTTCTGCAGATTGAACCCAAGACCTTCACACTGAGGTATGTATCTCCTGTCCTTTTTATTTTGAGATAGGGTCTTGGTCAATTGCCTAAGCTAGGCTCAAATTTGCAATCTTCCTGCTTCAGCCTCTCAGAGTGCCAGGATTA